TTTTCCGAAAGCAAATGTTCAAAGAGCTAATCGATTAACAACCGCAAGCGGTGTGTCGAGATATAGATTTGGTTTCACTTCACGGTGGAGAAAAAAGTGGATCACCATCCACGTGATTTAAATAGTTTGTCACAAAAAACGCCAGAAGAAATAGATTCAAAATTTCGTTTCCAATAATTAAATGCAACGGTCTATCTCACAGTTGAACTTGGCATGAAATTGACATCTTATTTTGGGTCATTTTCAATCCTTACTTCTCCCGTAAGATGTCTATTTTTTCAGGACTATAGAATAAAATCCTTTCACCCAACCAAACCAATAAATCGCGGATAAAGGATGTTCTAGAGCGATTTCGTACTCCTTCAGTGAGGAGATAATGCCAGATCGATATTTTTCACCACTCTCATGTTTCCATTTGTAACCCCGGCTCGGGTCTAGCGATTGGAGTTCCCGATTTACTGGATAATCTGGGATAGCTAGTGGCAATGGTTTCACTTTATACCATACAAATTTACGAATATAAAGTTCTGTATGATGTGCTCGTTGTCTTTGTTGGTTTGGTTCTGCAAGGACTTTCAAAGAGAATTGAAAAAGTGCTGTCTGTGAACAAAGATGCCGGGGACCGTTGCTGTTCATCACATTGGTTTGCATTTTCTCTCTCTGTCCCGTTGTTTGTCTTGGCTTTATGCCGAGACTACAATGGCATTATTCCGCTAGGCTACAATCATGGAACCGTATCTTGTCCGTGTTTTTCCACGTGAGTGATCGCACTCCTTCTCATCCGTTTGTCCGTGGAAGTCTTTTGTTGTACAATTTGTGATCGAAACCATGCGAATATGATGGTATTTTTTGTAGTGACTCATTTCGGGAATATTTGTTTATTTAAAAATACATGGAATATCCAGCAGCAATATTGATCACTCCACTGGTATTATTGGACCAGTGTAGATCAATCTTTGTACTGAAGGTAATCCACCCCCCATTCCCGCTTAAACTATTGATGTTCAGTACATAACGAAACGTGGCGCAGATGGTTGATGTCTGTTTTACAATTCCCGAAACATATATGCACTATTTTCGCATAATAAAAACGATGTTGCACACGGTACTTCATTCTCTTAACACTGATTTACATGGTCTGATTAGCGTAATTACTCTCAATACTATTTTAATTATCGACCAAAAGTTACACGTAATCCGTTCCCTAAAGATAGCATTCATTGTTCATAGGCGCCAGCCAATGTATTTTCTTCCGAAACATGTAGATGTGCTTCTAACGTCTGATCATTCCCGAAGTGGACTCTCTGCCCCAGGATGATTTCTTTTTTATGAACTGGCTAAATTGCGTCATGCTCACTTGCTATTCTTCTTGTTGTACTTGTCACTCTGTGTGAAACGGTAGCTGTAGGAAGTCTAATTTTGTAGATCACCCAGTTTATGATATCGTGTGAAGTTCATTTGATCTGACCGTAAGGTTTTCCGGTATTACTCACTGTTCGTAGGATAGTGTACTTTAGAATTCTCGGATAGGATGAAGTCAATCACGTATGACACTTGTATGACACTCATCGGATCTATTGATCTACCGGCCATCGGATGAATCATGAGTGCATCAATCCGCTACCAACTGCCGATAGTTTTGTCGAAGGGATGACTTTTGGTATTTCGTATGTTGACACGAAACACCTTTACCTGATAGACTACTTTGTAGGAAACAAGCTAATTTTTTATTATATGCTTAAAAATCCCAGCCCGTGAGAATGCTTCTAGATCATACAAAAAATCTCACAACCGTTACTGGAAAATTTCCGATTATTTTCCTAAGTCAAATTTTATGTGACCAAATCTTTAGCTGCACCCATTAAATTTGAACGGTTCTACATCGATACTACTAACAAAAGGACCACATTATGTAACGTTTTATTGGCACTGACCACGCGAGACTGAGGTTGGATCGGGCTGATTCGATTCTGGGGCAATCTGCAACGGACGAGTGCATTGGAATTTGCCTGTCTCAATGCGGTACGCGGATTTGGACAGGTTGTTTATCTGTTGCCCTAAATTGATAGCTGGGTGCAACAGCAATACGAATAAGTCCATGCATGCGCGTGTCACGCTGTTCCGCCTTTCTCTTCTATTTGCGCGCTTGCGTGCGTGCGTGTCGCGACAAAAGCATCACACACTATTTGGGCCTAGTTGGCCGATCGATCGATCAGTCGGTTGGTTTGCCTGTGACTTAGTGATACTTTTGCTTTGGCGCCCAGTTTGTTCCAGTACTTTTGCATATTTTTTAAAAACTTCGCTTGATTATTCTTTACTGACTTATTGTATTCGACTCACGTATTGATTAACCAATTGACTTTTGCTTGAAGCCTGTAACGAATTGAATCGATTCACCCATGTATTGATACCGATTTTGTGCGATAGCGTTTCACTTAGTCACCAACATCCGAGTTGCTTGACCGAAGATAAAGACTGCGATCTGGAACTCAATCAAAGGTATCACCTGCATTGAGATTCAATAAATGTACCCTTTTCAAGCATATTTTTATCATTTCACACGCAAAATAGACTAGTTCTCACAATTTCTTGTACTCTAGTCGATTTGTCGGGTCGGTTTTCGTCGATTCACTCATTGTCAGAGGAAATATGCAGTGATTTTTCAGTGAAAACAAAAAGTATGTATTATGTTGCAGAAATTGATTACTTTTATTATCCTCCCATCGCTTGAATCTCGCTATCTTCAAATGTTTTTAAACTGTGACTGACCACATCAACATCAGCAAAGTTGCCGGAAGTTCTCAACAGAGATATCTCGCCGAGATTTCGTACTGTTTTACTAACTTATACGCCACCCACATCGGACCTCTTCTTGAAGTTATCAAACTATCCCTGATTTCTATGGTGTGTATGATGCCAACAATTACTTTCCACCTACTTCAGCAATTTTTCTATTTAAAAGCATTTTTCAAACAATTACAGTGTTGTATAAAAGTGGACCGGTTCTAGGCGCTCACGTTGAACGTGTTACGGAAACGCAAAACGTTCTTGGGGTCACCCAATGTTTTGCGGAGGAAGCGTTTTGCATGGTAGTGGTGGGAGGTGGTCCGATTTCGAGGTGAATTTCGTCTTGAAGAGAACAAATGAGGTAGGAACTGAAAATCAGTGTGTAGACCGCATCGGGTCTCATCAGAAGTGCGAGAACTCACCGACTCAACCGAGGATCAATGCGGGGACCTCACAGGTGGAATGCATGCAAGTAACCCCCTTGACCACCTGGCAGCAGATCAGATCGTTTTTCATTCCGTCTATACACGATGCAGCACAACCCATCTTAACAGGCATCGCATTTCAGTCATCTCTTCACTTACCTGAGAAATTGTGATTCGGTTGCAAACATTTCGAATCTGACTGCTTGTTGCATGAAAGCACTAGTGATTCACGCTGCACTTACTCTGTTACGAAAATCCCCCTTATATTTGAATCACCCAGTTGCAATCACGTCTTCACATCGTTACTAGTTTGAAAGTAATTCATCCTTCCATATAAACGCAACCGCTCCAGGCTACCTCAACCGTTCCCAATGAGATTCAAAGTTGGACCATGGCTCAATCATTTGAGTATGTTTTATGTCACGCAAGGGTTTGCATGAGTTCGCAGAATGGAAAGGGGAAAACATACGTTATTCTCATTGAAAATTGAGTTCACGAAGGGCTTGAACAAGATAACCTTTGCAATTTGTGACGTAAAATTGCACGCCATATCATTACCAATCCACCACATTCACTGTGCTGCCCGAAATTCTAATTCTTCTTTCTGATGTCGATCCTGTTCTACAGTGAGCCATCTTTGGATCATCCGAATTGATTTGCTTCTTCATCCCCGATAATCAGCCACCAACATCGGGACTTCATATTCGTTTCAACCTGCCGCAATCGTCAGTTTGATATAGCTCTTTTCAATATTGTTTTCGCTTGGGTAATTTTTACTCTGACACCCGCGATTTCGCTTACAGCGTGATGGGAGGGATGAAAATCTGTTTGATGACCGATAAAGAGCACTGGACAGCGGTTTCGTCCTGTTTGAGACTCGTTTAAATAATTGGATCTAGCGTTTGATATCAGGTCATTTGGGTTGTAATTCCTCGCCGCACCTATCTCTACTTGCACACACACACACACACGATCTGCAATCCATGAATCTGGATGCACAATCCACTTCCGGATAACGACTACTGGACGGACACAAAAAATTCATTTCGTCGTCATAAACGTTTCTCACTTTCCGTCGGATGTGATCCTTCACCTTGACCCATTAGAAGATTTGAAAAACTCGCACAATAATCCTTTTCCCACTGAGCCCGAGGTGATATCATTAAGATTTACACCTCCCAAGTACCCTTTCCCTCAGATACGCAAACTCTGATAAATTGAAGATCCAATCTAGTCATTCCTACCCTCATCATTCCAAAATTGAGGTGTCCGCGTGAGGCGGTTCCGGAGATGCAAGCCCAAGGGCTTGGGTGGGCCCAATTATAATTGCTGGTATTATATTACCTTACCGGTTCGTTAGAATGGCCACAAAAACCTATAATGGAGTTGAGTCGACCAATGCAGTGAACATCATTTTTTAACGAAATAATATCTTGTGGAAGTCAAAGTCGGAATCCGTTGTCTGGATTATACTATCAGGTGACATTTTTGATAGTATACTGTAATTACATCATATCTCTACACTAATCGTCAAAGTTTAAGCACGCAATGAAGCAGATTGTCGTTATTGTTGTACAGCCTGTTGTAAACTTCAGTTCTGAAATTGGCAGTAATCTGTAAATGCTATTTTCCGTTTTTAGCGGACGAGATTTTTATGATACGGATAGAGTATCCTATTGTCTTGGTGATTGTCATAGTCTTTTTAGCCCTCATTTTATTTTAACAAACTTATCCCCACTCCACCGGTTGTGATGTTCTTTTTCATTCTTCCCCGGACTTCACACGTAGAATGCGAATCGTAACAGTTCGAAGTTCAACGATCTGCCTTCACCACCGCCGTCCAATGCCTTTTTGTCCGGTCCCAATGACTATGAACGATACTATCGTGGTCCGGGTGGTTTGAAGTTGGCCGACCGAACTGTTGGTGCAAATCAATTCGCGATGCCACCTCCTCCCTCGTCCGGTGCGTTGGATGATCACAGTCGACTAGCTGACCACATGGCTGATCTTCGCGTTCGGCAGGTAAACATACCTTCAAGTTTTGGTTGTTATTATCGACTATTTTTCTGTACCATAGCCTTCTCAAGATTTCATGGGCTGTTTATTGGCTGATCGCAATCGTATACGTATAATTCTACATTACAGAACACTATCTCTATCGGGCGATCCTATTCAGTCGATATTTTTCAGTGACATGACCACCCATATCGCCTCCTGAAATCACGAATCGATTACGAAAAGTTCACAAGTTTTCCAGTAAACGTTTGTGACACTTCACGGTAAACAAAAATCTAGAATTGTGTCGGTAGATGATGAACTCTGAATGACCCTCTTAAAAACAATGAATTCCTAAAAGACAATCAATGTCACAATAAACAGTACAGTACAATAGTACAATTTCGCCTACCATGTCCTTCCATTTTTTACACACCGTATTCATTCTCATTGTCAATAACCTCTAATCCAATGAAAAAACTGATCTGCATTCCCTTTTTGTGATACTCATCCCTTCACCTGATCAACATTCAAGTTTTATATATTTATTTTCAGCAAGATTTCGCGTCATCTCTATATCGTGCATACGTAAATAAACAGTTTATATAAGCCCTCAGCGTTGCAACACGAAAAAGTGAGTAACAGTTCTTCTCGTAACAAAGCGTGGCGATCCCGATGATGTACTGTGATTTTGGAGTGAATTTTCTTTGCATGAAGTTCATTCAGTTTGGTGAATGAATCTCACGAACACAGTACAAAGGAGTTAAGGCCGGCATCCGTCCACCCCCGGGGATACCCTCTTAACCCTCGATCGATCAAACCCGATGTAATGGGTAACAATAAATGTCATGGATTTTTCGAAAACAGTCTAATTTTTTGTTCGTAAGCGGTCGGATTAACTCGACTTACGCCATTGAAAACGGTATTTGGTCTCAATATTAGTGGTGGTAACGCTAAGTTTTTGTTTATTTCTGGAATATACAATGACTATCAGTCTTCACTTAATATCTTTTCAAGCTTTACCTCGGAAAAATACCATCATGCCGTTGCGTGACCAAGAAAGAAAAGCCGTTTTTGTTGACTTATCTTCCGTAATCATTGTGCTAAGAATACGATGCACACAGTTCAGTTTCAGTTTGTACAATTAATAACCGTGCACTTTCGTGCGCCGCCCTCATGTCAGTTATGAATTAATGACACACTTTGATATCTCTGGTTTTTGTTATAAGTCGATCTCTGATTTGCTCGCATAATTACTTTGTATCCAAAACACTGTATGTGGTTTCCCCCTCCAGTCTCATGTCGGATTTCGCTGGTTTGTATGTTTATGCTGACTGCCTCATTCCCTTCTCATATTACAGTCACCCTCACCCACTCGCATTGAGCGCCCTCGTTCTCAGCCGAATCGGTCACCTAATCCGCACCGTAGCTCGTTCTCGTCAGTCGAAGTGAACCCCGAGTATCACTCGAATGACGAACTGTCCGTGGTACCCCCGCCTCCCCTGTCCCCACATGTCTACCCGATCGAGTCGGAGCGATTGTTACGTGATCGGGTCTGTCGCACTCGAGTGCGTGCCGACCGATCACCCGAATCAGGGGAAGTGCTGTTGTTCACGCAACCCTACATGGCTGGCGTTGCCGTCGGATTATCCCCACGACCGGAACGTCGAGAATGGCCCAAACTGAACTGTACCCCGGTACAATATTCCCAGCCGAACAGTACGACTCGATGGAAAAGTAAATCGCCCCTTCGGGACACCTACTCTAGTCGATCACTCCCTCGTGGTCCGTACAACACGTTGCCTGAACGCAGTAGCCTCCTTTCCATGATGCCGTACAGTACGATTGCGTCAACACATTCGGGAAGCACGGTGTGTGTTTGTGCGTGCGCGCGCGCGTGCGCGTGCTCACTGGCCTAGTTGCTTGCTACTAAACCGCTGCCTCTGTCCTCCGCATTGCTGTGGGTCCTTCTTCGGTTCACTGATTCTCACTTACCCTCGGTGCTTCCCAACCGGTTCCTTTCTCCCATGGACGATGCATCGGATAGTCCAGTCCATTCTGCCCCTCAAGTTATGCATACAGTATTTCTACTCTTTAGCGACTGGATGCCAACTGACGGTTAGAGTTCGGAAAGTATATACTTCCGTCTGTAACTGTATTTCTTCCATGAGATGTGTTCGATATATCAACCAGTTACGAGCAGTCATTTTCTCCGACGCGCTATCCCTCCCCCCACACATTGGGTGATCGAACTCTTCTTTATAATCGCTTCCCTGCTGACTGAACGGTGTCCATCTTCTGGAGGTCCGCTGATGAAGACGCATTTATTCTTCTCCCTACTTGCGATTCCATCATCATAAAAATGTGCCGTTTTCCGTCCGTTCGAAATTGTGATTACCGCGATTGGGTCATTTTAATTAGATTAGATTATACCTCTGATTCTTTCAGATGCCTGTTTCAATCCAGATGTGAGATAATATCAATTTCATCGTTGGTGTCACAAGTCTGTGTACACTTTTTGGAGCAAATTGCGTCAGTAAAAAACGCAAATGATTTCCTTGGGATACAGAAGTAAAACAGCTTTGCTTGATCTGTTCCACTGATACAAACCGGCTCAGACCGATCAAAATAACCGGTGGCTGCGCATTTGTAACAGTGTATCATCCACTCCATTTGACAGTATACGCGTTTAGGCTCTCTTACATGCCGTGTTAGGCGTTTTGCCTGAAATTCTGTAATTTGGTCGATACTTATAGCATCGTACATCGAATCTCATCGAGTGAATGCTTATTCAGTAAATAAACACCCCCTCCTCTGTTTTTAAAACGGTCGTACTGATCTTTGCAGTTCTATTCCCTTACCTTTCGGTACATGTTTCTCGTATATCATACGATTTGATCACTCAACCGATTTCGAGATAGAGATCATCCAGTAGCGTATAATTCCTTCGTTCCGGCAGATTTTCCTTAGAATCCACCGGACGGATTTTGTGACTAATTTAGTAGGCACGCTGACGAATGACAGCAGCTGAAATTGGAGCAGTAAAGTGCTTGCAAGTCTCCTCCTCCCATAAACTGTACTGGTGTTGCGAAAAAACTGAAAATAGGTGTGCTTCTGGGGCAGTTTCTTTAATTCAAGGAATACATATTGAGTAATCTTATTTTCGGTCTTCACTAATTTTTCACTAACATTTTCCTTATGCTTTCCAATTTCCCGATTGTTTACCGAGAAAATTTGTTCTCAGGGTGATTGGGAATGGGGGAACTAAATGTAATTGGTATGCGAAAATCGGCATCCAGTTCATCGGATCATACGTTTTTTGGTCGAGGTCAAACGTCCAAGATGCACAATGCAGTTGAATGCCCAATCGACCGGTGTATCACTACCACATTCAGAAAAAAGTGTGCGTAGTTCGTACACCGCTTCTTGGTTGATTAAGATCCAGATTTATTAACCAACTCCCCTAAGTGAACTGCCAGTAGTTCAGAGACCCCAGTTATTGCCCGGAATGTTAGTGGGAAAACACCGCCGCGGGAAGCTATTGAATAGGGCTTCTGCAACAGGGGCGATTTGTGACGTTTGGTCATGTAGGTCCCAATTGTTGACACAAAATCACGTACCTGGTTAATTTATGCGCATACCGTATCATCCTGCTCTACCTATATTTTTATTCACTCTCAGAAATTCGTCATACAGTGATCTCTCTCCACATACTCCTGCGGTGTCAAATATTTACATAACAAATTGACGAGTGAACCTCACTTTCTGGTGATAAACTGGTAGAGTCGACTAAACGTGGTCATCAAACTCCCGCCTTAACCTGCTCTTGTTGATGCGCCTTGATCCCTCCTGGTACACGCGAATCTATCCGGGTCTATTCATGCGTACAGCCAGGCACTGATTTGTTTCTTCTTCATTCATTTTGTTTTCTCGCTCTCTTTGCATGGTCGACATAGGGTCATCAATCTGGTTCTCATACGGGTCCCAACGCTGCCGATATGCGTTACGGTCCTGCTCCTCCACCCGGTAAGTGCGAATCCCCCAGTACTCTTGGGACTTATCGTGATTTCTGTTCCGTGTTTTCATTATCATTTTCACCTGATTTGTTGTCCTTGCTGCGTGGATGAAAATGTGCAGCCATATAAAAGACCGTTAGAGCACAAATTCACGACTGACCCTCACTGTTTGTCGTGGTCTGTCTCGGCCAAGGCCTCTCATAACCGTTGTGGTCTCGTTGAAATGTGGGCAGATATCCCGACATCCGAATCCCTTTACCGGCTCCATTGGTGATGAACAGCAAAGCACGGGTTCGAATTCTTTGATGTCAAAATCCTTTATGTATTGTTTGGAATTGCCCACCAAGCGCATTGTAAATAAATCGCAAATAAAACAAAGACGACCGAGGTTGTTTTCGGTTATCTATAATTACATGTATATGTATATGTATTCATTGGTTATACGCTTGCACTCTCGTTTTTAAGACCTATTAAAGGCCTGAAGATGAGAGAGCAGGGTAGCGGTGGGGGCCTTCGCATTCACAACTTTTATATTTTATTTCTCTATTTGTATAACTTGTGCAAACATATATGCTTACATTTCAGTTGAAAATGTACACGATTCGTCACGCGGACTGAAATAATAATAATAAAAACGAAGGATAAAGAATGTCGGTGATATTTTTTTCATGTACAAAACTTTCGACGTAGTTCATTTGAGACCTGTACCTTTTTGGTATGTGGTCGGGCGAGGTAGGGTGCAGGGGAATTTTTATAAATGTTAGTACTAGAGGGTAGATGTCGAAATGAGCATCCTGTGGACGGATGGAAACGACAAAACGATAGATTGGGGTGTAGTGGATGAAGAGGGTCATCTAGAATCTTATGAGCAAATTGAAAACCAGAGTTGATGTGACCATCAATGAGATCTGTGATTAATAAATCGATTGCGATTAATGATGCACGACTGATGATCTCCAAACCACGGCAAATTGTTTTGAAGTCTTGTTTTAAAAGACCGGGAAATACTACAGCGGAGCAATAAAGTAGAATGGATAAAGCGCATTGCTGAACGAAAGATGACTATACTGACTGTGGGGTTCGGAATTGCCTGAGTTTGCGTAACTGAAAAGATAGGCATCTCAGTTTTCCCATACAGTTGTAGATATGTGTAGACAAACGAAGGTTACTGTCGATGGTGACACCCAGGCACTTGACTGAGGTCATTCTGGATACAGGTTTACTGTTACGTGGAGCTGAGTCCGTTGTTAATGAGAAGCGTGAAAGACTGAAAATGCACTCTACGCACTTATATATGTTAAGACAGACCAGATTGGTCAGAAAATTGTTGGATGAGGGATAGGTTTTCGATAAAAGAATGAAATTCCGAAATTCTGGACCCTTTCTAGGATAACCTAGATCACTCGACCATCATCACACATTAAAAAACGAATAAAAGGCACTCGAAGTTGCCCGAAGGACGATGAACCATAATCGCGATTGGTTAGGAACTTCTTGACATTTGTCGAATTCGGATATCGACTCATAGTCAGTGTTACTGATGTCCACACGGTTCAAATCGTTGTCACTGGTGTCCTCGAACCACCGCTATCCGGTTTCGATGGTAGGCAGCTTCATTGCCATCCGGAATAATACCGCCCACATCCTATTAAGACCTTATGTGGTTCCACACTGTATATCTCAGGGCTTGGTTTGTCAGTTGTGAACAGGTGAACAGTAGAACCTCGTGGCTGTCGGGTTTACCAGACTTGGGTATGCAGTAAATTATGACAGTTTCCACTGGCTTTTAATAAGCACCCCGAATGAATTTTCTCAAGCCCCGTGTCTAATTTCCGTTGCCGAATTCGCTTTGCTCAACTGCATCTAACATGTTCAACGGATAACGTTTTCCTTGGAAAACGGTGATCTACTCAGTGAGCCACCATAAATCGGATTGGAAGTTCTACAACAAGTCTGCTTGTATCAATACCCCAGAGTTTGTCTGTTCCACTTCTTTTTCGCATGTTCTACGCCAGGGACATGTTTTGATGCACGGTTGTACTGTTTTCGAATTATTCCAGTGGTATTTGGCGGTGTTTGATTTGAGCCCAGAACGTCTTGCAGAAGTCTTTTTGTTTCTCTTACACTTCTTTGAATAGTAATCTTGTGTTCAGTGCCTCTGGTCTCGGATTCGAGCCGCGCAATCGGGTTGACAGTGTTCGTGTTGTCGAATAAGTTTGAATTCTTGCGGTTGTTTTAACGTTCGGATATTTCTGACCATATTATTTCACATTTTAACCATCCAGTAGCATTTTTCTCAGACTCAGAAGAGGTTCCTGAATAGCTATTTAGTTGATGATAGCGTTAGTTAACTCTTTGCATGACATCATTCAGACTGCACCTTTTTCATTCAATTTTACCCTGTCGAGATAATGGACAGTAATATTGAGTGTATATTTTTTCGTTTCAAGTTGTGTCCAGGTGATATCTGAACTGCGCAACCATATTTAATTGTTTCTCCATTCACTTGAGAACGCAATCGGAGTTAGTGATACTTTGCCGTTTCTCCTCTGTGTTTCGGATCGCATAGCCACCAAATGTACAGTTCCATGCCATCAGTAGCCAGGTAGATCACGTGGAAACTGCACGATGCATTGTGCTTTTATGCTTTCATAGTCAATTGGCCATACGAGTGACCTTCATTTTTGTACATAACCTTGCTTGTTCGCAGCGCAGTTGGCGGTCAGTTAAAACGGAACTGCAGTGCATGACCTCAGGTATCACCGTTGTGTGTTTGATTGTGACGTGTCGTGTCGTGACATCAAACTTCGATTTTAACACCCTTCATTCTGGTCCCTCTCTCTCTTCGGTGATTGTTATCAGTGTTTTTGTGTCTAATCGGATTATAAAAGCATGTATCATTGTTCCTTACGGATTGATCACATGACTGCCGTAGTCGGTTGAAAACAGTATTCTACTCTAATCGGGTTCACCAATCCTTGGTGATTAGCGAAATTGTCAACGTTCTGTTTGCCCTCTGTGTATCAATTGAGCCCCTTAGCACGAATAACAGTCTGAGCATATTCGATCATTGTTGAAATGGACGTTCTCAGTGGGTACCATTCAGTCTCCTTATATAAATCATTAGGTTCCATTCTATTGCGTTCCACGAACTCTGTTTCTCTGCACGGAGTACCAATAACTTTTTCTTCATGCTGATCCCCTTTCAGCTTGCCTTCTTTTCGGTTTGCAACCAACCTCACCAACCCCACTCGTCTTCTCATAATGTACAAAGTTCAAATCCATCCTGCAGTTGAACACTACAGTCACGTGTGGTGAAGCTTCGTTTTCTGCTCTTTCCTTTTGGAATTCCATCCGGTTGATCGACTACCTTTTCCTAGTTTCCTTGTCCCTTTTCCTGCGTGTTTTTCGTCCATTTCTTTTTGCTGTTACTTTCGGCCCCCCATCGCGTACACAGGTAGTTGGTCATCTACATAAGCTCCCATCACTTGATATCGGACTACTCTCTTTTAACCTTTCTTTTCCCCCGGATCGTTAAACTATAGAACACGCTTGCACTGTCTGTCTTCCCATCCACTTATAGTCTCACTTTTTAAGCACATAACCACACAACTGGTTCTCACGTGAATGTCCCCCTCCCTCCAGTTCACGGTGTTTCTTTAGTATTATTATACTTCCAAAAGACCAGTGTTGGCTTGAGGCGGATTGTTTATTTCGAACCACAGTTAGGGTATGGATAATTTGCCATACATATAACAAGATGTTTCATTTTGAACATATCATCTCAATTCCCGGCAGTTCACAACGGAACAGTTCGTAGTTATCATCTTAAACGCAGCAATTCGCTCTAAGAGGTCTTGCTCATTTTTGATCGTTGGAAGAAACCACGAACCGCATTTTTTGTGTACTACTCACAAATGTGAGTAGTACCTCACAACACTGAAGTTTTCCCCTTTTACAGTACTTCTTCCTGTGTATAGTAAAAAAAACTGAGCAAAGCCCTTGTCAATTTATTCGTCCCAATTTAACGGTTTTTTCACTCGCTCCATTGGTCAATTGGGAAGCACCTTTTGGGGCTCGGTTTCGGTCCTCAGTTGGGTCAATAGATTCGCACTGTTGATACGTTCAGTTGCGGGTGTTTGGAGTTGCTTTATGGCTAAATATTTAGTATATTCCATCGCGGATTTTTTTCACATTGCAATAAGATCTCCTCACTGTGTGACTTTACTCTGTCCGCTTGATAGATAAGCGACGGGCACTTTGACGAATAGTTGTAGATTTCCAGATAGGTTGGTTTCCCTGTTACGATTTTTAATGCTTTTCTTGCCATTTCACGATCTTTACGGCATATCACTGTTTGGGTAGGGACGTTTTGAAGCTTCAATAATATGATTCCGTTTCATATCATGCACTCAAATACTATAGTTGACGCTGTTAACAAATCACAAAATATGGTCTCTGCATTTTTCTCCCATCAATTAGAATGGACTGTAACTGGAATAGAACTCGTGTATGACTTGACAGGAAGATGATTAACTGGTAATGCTCTAACCGAACCACGTAATTACATGATTAATTTGGCCGCTGGAGGCATGGGGATACTCACTTGGTTTAGTTTTCGAGAATAATAAAGAGGCAACTACCTTCAATGAAACAAGGTTCGTTACCCCTCGTGTTTGAAATCAAGCTATGATTTGTCTTCTGATCACTGTGTGTAGAACTTTCCATTGTGTGTACTGAATTGATCGGTCGATTGATTGGTTTTCATTCCTGTAGTTTCAGTGCCCTGCACAGGTCAGAGACAGTATAACCCGCAAGTCGTAATTTCCGATTTTTCTCCATTGTTTTCGATGAACTGGCGTCAGGTTTGTCCGGGTCTATGCCTGATCTAATTCTGCCACCCAGCTAACACATTCGGTGTGAGTGTAGTCCACTCTTAATATTCGCTTTCATTCAATAGATGCCCACAGAGATTGACTTACTTGATGTCAACGGAATTGGAAGCATATTTCAGATTTTTCCAGCTGTGTTTTCAGTTCAATATCTGTGTGTTTCACAGAGGTCATCGCAGTTTCTTTTTCATAGAAATTCTTTTCGAAGTGTTCCATTCTCAAAAAATGTTTTTTTCTTTGAGGATTAAAGAGTAACTTAACATTCCGTGTGTTAGTCTGTGTACATAGGCACACGGTTAGTTCTAATATTCTCCGATGTATGTATGTTTGGAGGGCAGGGGACGGGATGGTGGATGAATATTATTTCAGTGTGAAACTGTTATGGTAAGTTTGCAATTTGTTTTGAACGTGACCAGGTCAAGGGAAGGGTCAAATGACGACCAGCTAGCATTCTGAAATTACGTGTGAGAACCGGGCAATACTCACTGCTCTGAAGTCCACTAACCATAGGTTGTAATCCTCCTCTTCAATAATAATAATATCCTGCAAATCCAACCCATTAGTGTCGGAATGCTCAGTTTTGTGCTAATATTCAATCGAGTTAATTATGCTGACTGTTCCTTTATGGCATGAGTTTCATTTCTCTCGCCCGTCGGATTGTGATTACTGTCCTTAGTGTCATCCTACTGCTCAAATATTTTTTCCATTCACAGCAACAAGTGACTCAGTTTTAGATGTAAATTTCCGAGTGCCGTTTTTTGTTACTAAAATGGACAGTTCAAATTCAAATCAGCAGTGGAATCGCAAGAACACTCTCCCACCCAATGATGATGAGTTATTGATTTTGCTGTCCGATACGAATGCTCTGAGTATTGTCGTTCGACTACGTCCGTGTTAGAAGTCGCACAGTTGAGAGCCGAAAATGGGTTTCACCATCAAGCTCTTTCCTGGTAGGCGTTTTCCACGCAATTGATTGACGGTTCACTCACTCACTCTATCTTGGGTGCGCGTTCATACTAGAGCGTTTCGACAGTGAACAAAATGTCCAGGCCAAGTGTTAGCCCATTCGGTTGTTGGTCGTTTCGATTGGTGATACAGCAGATGTCGGTGCGTTCTTCCCGTGATGTGTGTGCGTGTGTGTAGACTGTTCCCGTTCACTGCATTCAGTCAGACCTGCTCAAATTATGGAAACATTTTCTGATACATGTGATAGGAATAGAATGTTACAGGAAATTCTTCGAGCATGGCAGCTGTAGCAGACCAACTAGATATTTCACACTTATCAAAGGAACAGTAGACAGTAATGCGGAAACTGCGAGCGAAAGTGTGACAAACTGCTGGTTCGTTTGGTGATGGCTGGTGCTGGGAAACCTAGAACACCATCAAGCACTTGAATGACTGATTCGCAAACAACAATAGACGTTGGGGAGCTAAATAGAACATTTGATAAATGAACCAGTAACAGCGAGGTAGGGCCGCCCATCGACAGCACAAATACTGACCTCAGTGATTCGAAACCCTTCGCCATTCAACAAGAGGATGTTCTGNGCAGGTCGGAGGCTACCATCCTTAAGGAGTGCACTCACATCCGTTTACCAGTGCTCACAGCTCTGCTTGGATAGCGGGACCATACCTGATTGTTGGAAATCTGCCTCCATCAGTCCAGTAACTTAAACAGGAATCCGCAAAATTCCGTCCCATTGCATATACGTCTGTTGTGTTGAAGCTGTTCGAGAAGGTACTCCAAGGAATGTCATCGCAGCTTAACGTGTAGGACCCTAAGCAATTCGCGTACCGTCATTCTCACTCCACGCCAGACGCCTTAGCTTCTCTGATCCACCATATTCTATCAGTATTCGAATGGAAATGCGAAAGCTGTCAGAATCTGTTTCTTGTATTACAGCGATGCCCTCTGATGTGTTGATAGGTCGAATTTGCTAAATATTTGGTCTTCCATTAGGATATCACATAACTGCGGTACTTACAAACTATTTTGCAAAACGATCACAGTTCACACGTTACCTTGAACGTTCCTCCTCTCTCCTAATCTCTTCATTAGGCGCAGTACAGGGTGTTATCCCGTCCCCATTAGTCTTTTCCATTTGTATTTCATCTATACTAAGTTTTCAAATTTGCCTGCTTCCCAAATACGCAGACGATGTTTTGTTCGGAATCGCCCACTCTGATGCATCTGTTATTTCCATCTTTCATTTTGACCTTTATAGACTTGGCCAGTGGTTTACTGCATATAACTTGACTCTCAATCCGTCTCAATGCGTAGAAAAGCGGTTCTTCTTAGAGGGTACCGCTCTGCAAATCTCATAGAATCTTTTATCATGATTAACATACGTGATGATACCACGTGATGATACAACCCGTAAATGTTAGGCATCTCAGTGTCATCATCATCGTCATCATCGCACAGCGTAATACAGTGAAGCGAACTTCACTGATCGCTGCCAAACTCATAATGCATAGGTGAGAATGTGAAAGGAGGACAAGAATTGGGCCTATTTTAGGGGACGGGAAAAGAAAGCGAACCTCTATGGGCAACACAGAGTACACAGTTCAACTGTGTATACATACAATTCCAAGCATTCTGATAAGAAATGACAGCAAGCTTGCCATTGCTGTCGGTTTGCAGCCATAACCTTCAGTGTCTCCAACCATGCGGTTTCGGAGTCTTTTAAACCCCCATCCCGGAAGACGAGAGACACCCACTTTACCTAATCGCTCTGTGCATTTCTTTATGCTTCGTCTCCACTTCATCTTCTGGCCTCCACGTGGCTTCCTCCAGCCTGTAACAGCCACTGCAAACAAGGCGCTCTGCGGTAGGTGACCGTCGGACATACGCAGAACGTGTCCTAACCAACGGAGCCTACTCAGCTGCATTCGATGCGGTGGCGAGTTCTTGTTTAGTGTATTCCCAAACATCCGACGACTTACTTCTGAAATACTGACCCACTCGATCCATCCAACCCGGACCAGACTACGTAAGCATCGATTGTCGAAAGCTGCTACACGTTGGGTGTCCTCTACCCGCAAATTCAAGGTCACACAACCGTAAAGTGGAACTGATCGTACGGTGGCGCAGTATACGCGATTTTTCAACTTTAGTGACACATCACGTCGCCGCCACAGGTGTTTAAGTCCTGCCTAGGCTACTCGAGCCTTGGAGATGTGGGCGGTTATCTCCTTCGATGCGCTACCGTCGTTGGTTACACAGCTACCTAAGTACAAGAAGCAGTCAACTTCAGCTAGTTCCTGACCGTCTAGTTTCAGAACAGAATTCGGTGACACCCAGTCTTGTAGCATCACTTTGCACTTTGAAGGTGCAAAACACATGCCAAACGGAGCGACAGAACTTGCTAATCTGTCAAGTGCTCTTTGTGCATCTTCCATACATTCGAACCAGCAAGCGATGTCGTCAGTGTGCTCCAAATCGCACAACGTTTCTCCCGCTGCCCATTCAATACCTACATTTGTGTTCTCTAGTATTTCGTCTATGACAAAATTGAACAGGAATGGCAAAAGAGGGCAACCTTGACGAACACTGCCGCTAGTTACGAACGACCTACTCAGCTCGCCGTAGACCCTTACGCTGACAAGTATGTGAGTAGAGTGAACTCAATACGTCAAAGTATAATGGAGGCTAGTTACTTCGTGACGATTAGAATCAAGCTTATTCCACGATTGTTTGCGCAGTCGTTGCGAGATCCCTTCTTAAAAATGGGAATAATCAGTGATCTGGAATGCGCTCGTGTAACCAAATGCTACGCATTACATCAGTAATGGAATCTACGAGGTTGTTGGCCCCCCCATCTTGAAAAGAGTGGGAGGAAGCCCGTCCGGCTCTGCTGCTTTTCCTTTCTTCAGGGCTTGAATACCAGAACGAACTTCTGCTGCAGTAGGAGGTTCAGATGACACTGCCCACGGAGCCTCAGCTACACCGAGGGAGATAGCTTGATTAGTGCCTGGCCAGCTGAACTGTTCGTTGAAGTACTCTACCCATCGGTTAGGCCGTTGTTCCCTATTGTGAATAGCTTGTCCACTTTTGTCGCAGATTGTTTCACTAACTGGGGTTTGCCGACCTCCTGTATTGCGTATTAGTTGGAACAGTCTTTGACTATTCTCTGATGCATCTGCTACTTCCATTTCACTATCTATCGTTGCCTAGTTCTCACGGTCTTTCTTGAGGCTCTTCGTGAGTTGACGTTGTAGACGCCACCTAACCCTGCCTTGATCCGGGGTGGTTGCGATTTGCTGCTTTTTCTCCATCAGTGCTACTAATTCATCAGATATCCAATGCCTCGATCGGACTGTCGCTTCAGATCCACAGGCAACTCTGGCAGCGGAGTGCATTGCTCGTCTTATCTGATCCAATGGTTCATTTACGCTACCACTCCGCAGTGGGTTTCGCCCTTGCCCTAGTTCTGATTCAAAACGGGCACGAACGGCTGGGTCAGATAAGCGATGATCTGCCGATCGAGTTTGGTGGAATNTATGTGGTCGATCTGAGTTAGCGTGCCAGTTGAATTTGAGCGCCACGTTGCTGTCCGTTGAGAGCTGTCGGAAGTTGATGCTGGATAGGAACAGATGATGTGCTGCGCTGAACTGAAGAAGCCGATCGCCATTATCTGTTCGCTGAAAGGGCAGAGCACAATGGTCGCCTGGGCAAGCCTCGTTTGCGCTCATTTTTTCAACTTGAGCGTTGAAATCGCCTGCGAGCACAACTACATCGCAGCTTGCTTGGGTGTCCAGCCACTAAGCAGGGTTCTCGTCCAAAGCCTTTAGTCCTGACAAGAACCTGATCGCAAGGCTGCGGGTAAGCCGAAATAGAGGCCCGTTTTCCTTGTTCAATTACTCCTCTACCATTTTACCGACTGAGACGCTAACGCGAGTCGAACCCCTAGCCTGGAGGACCAGGAAACTAGACTTCGTCTGACCTCTACTCATTGACCTTCCAGGCATGATTAGAGCTGCGGTTTGACAAAAGCCATCCCTTATAGCTCGTTTGGTCAGAGAGGGTGCACAAACCATCACACCACGTCAAGGTACAGTCTCGTCGTGATGGTGTTATTCAGCCGAAATTTGTCACACTCTAATCATGTTGTTTTCGTATTCGGAAGGGCCAGAATTTCAAGTCCTACATCTGAAAGTCTCATCCCTCTCCGGCTTCCTGATTTGCCGTTTTCTTTTTGGCTGCATTCTGCCGTTTTGACTTTACGAGTTCCCCTTAATCTTTTCCGGGACGCTCAATAGGAACTTTAGTTTACTTTTCCGATCATAAGCACATTTATCCAGAAGTAGAGGAAATTCGCATGAACTCGCTCCATCGTCTTTCGTGAACGACTCTTCGCAGCCGCTAAATACAGGTCTTATAAAATGTGTCCTGTTCTTCCACCCAATCCCGCTATAACTGTATATTTGCTCTCAAAACCGCTTACCGGTCTTCTGTGATACTTTATTTTGGCTAATTTGTTGGTAGCCCGGTGCCCATCGTTTCTGAACAGAACTCTCTCAACTCATAAGTTGTTTTGTTTAGTCTTTGTTTTACACAACTCTGGTTAATTTTACTTGCTTATTAGCTCTACTCTGACTATTTAGCTGTTGCCGTCACGACGAAACCGCATCTGGACGTGATATGATTGCTCGCGCTGCTCCATGGCCCTGCAAGCTGTACACGATGGCTTGTCCCAGCCACAGATCCAATTATGCCTGAAAGGTCAATGGGTAGAGGCCAGATGAACCTGCCTCACAAGGCCAGCTACTTGGGCACCTTGCTTCCTTTATCCACCCATTCTCGCCCCTGGAGAGGTCACTCCAACAAATTTAACACGGGGAGGGGCATTTTAACGATCAAGAAAAAGCTCCACTAAATAGACATATGAGCGCGGTAATTGGGGCTTCTTCCCGACGGCAAGAGCATTCTTCGCATTTTATTCGACAAATCTATTGAGGTTCCCACAAGGATGCTTCGATCATGTTCCGGTGTTGGATCTACGCCCTACTGCCTCACGGCTTTGGCTTTTTATTGACAGGCTTTGGTCAGGATTCCGAATGAAAGACCCTTTCGTCGTGTAGGCTGTCACAAAGTATGTTGTGCCTTAAAGTCTTGGGCATCCATTTGTAAAAACCTCTTTTCCATTTATCTAGTTCTTCCTCTCAAGCATGAATAATCCCAGATGCCTCCTGTTTTGCCAGTAAAGCCGAACAATTAGAAGTTACGGGATTTTTGATGCGAAATTCCCTTTTTACTTATCCGCGTTCAACGTTCGCACACTATCAGATCGGTCATCAAGCTGCTTTAACTAGAGCCATTGGAATATTCAATTAAGATGTTTGTTGCATCTCAGAAACACGTATACAAGATCCTGCTTCAATCATCTTCCTGCGTTCTCCTGACCCAACCTCATCCTCACGCTTCACTCTCCATGTGTCGGGCGATTCGGCATCCGAAGCTCGCGGTGTTGCTGATGTCGGGATTGCGCTGAGTGGAAAGGCCGAACGCTCACTTCTTGATTGGGTTCCCATTAGTAGCCGATTGTGCGCTGTACGTTTGGATGATTCAGTGCGAGTCAACAGCTACAGAACGAGGCTCGGGGCTCATATGTCGTATCGGTATATGCAAAGACCGATTGCTGTTCGCCAGAAATGAAGGATGAATTCTACGAGAACCTCTCCCAAATACTCTAAAGTTCTCGATCAACTGACAGTGGTGGTCGCAGGAAACTTCAATGCTCAAGTGAGATACATGGACGAATCAGATATGCTTCTTGGTAGTCCATATGCGATCTCAACCAACCGGACGGATAAAGGAAAACGCCCACTCCAATTTTGCGCTGACGACGGACTGTTCCAGTCAAGCATTGATTTCTCACACAAGAAACACTATCATTTTACATGCAGGGTGCCCTGCTCTGTACAGTGATGAACTCAGTCATCGCCGAAGGGGATCTATTGAAGACTGCTGCTCTTACTGGTCAATAATTGTGGACATGGACCATACTGTGCTTCGAGCCAGATTCTCCCTTCGTCTGGTAAATAGATTCAGAAAGGCCGCCCCAAACAGATGCCCATATTTCTGTCACCGATACTTGTAAATCGGCTTTTAAAGTGGAACTCTCTGATCGCCTTTAAGCTGATTCATCAACCGAAGGACTCAGTGAACACTGAACGGCCATCCAGGAAGCGATCCAAATGTCGATCGAAACAACGACCGATTCTGGCGCCCGATGAGAGCAAAAAACGATGGATCTCCTCGACCGCGGTTACCCTGCTGTATGCTCGCAAAGCCATTTCTTTCGGATTGAAAATACGACAAAGCGCGCAAATCCCTTGGACGCCAGCTCATCAAGAGTTTGAGGAATGACCGCGAGAAGTGGTGGATAGAAAAATTTAGGGATATGGATAATAATGCTGCCATGAGTAATGGTCACATTCTTTTTCGTCTAATTAGGAGTACATGTTCAAGGAAAGTAGGCGTAAGGGAGGTAATTATGGAGTCTGACCACACACTGATTCATATTCGGCAACACTATTTTCACCTATGGGAAGAACGTTGTAAGGCACATTTCAGCTGGCCCTCGTCGAGACAAGAGTTTATATCTGCCTCAACTGGGCAAATACCGCCAGTTGACATCAGTACTCCATTTGAAAATGAGGTTACCCGAGAAGTGAGTCACTTAAAAGGTACAAGGCCTCCGGCTGAGGTGGACTGTCTCCATTGGTTTTTCAAAGATGGAGGGTAAGTCCTGTTTTTTATTATGCACTTATTGCCACTAAGACCTGCTGTTCAGTGATGGAAACCGGTTACCTAAGCTCCAGTACTTGGGGTCGTGAAACATATGAGGCTCCGATGGGTTAGGCGTTTTACTAAGACGGACGAAATTCCTGAGAACGGCGTGCGAGAGGTAACAAGTTCCAGCAGACTAGTGTGAATCGTTCATCATAGCGATTTACAAGGTGACAGAACCTCCTGTGAAAATCATAGGGGATTTAGTTTAGTGAATATTGTGTCTAAGCTTCTCGCCAGTATTATACTCCGTCGATTATCTGACGCACATGAACGGTGAAAGCGGGAGAACTCCACTGGTTTTAAACCTAGTCGAGGTTGTATTGATCACATTTTCACACCCTCCTTTCGTAGATCCAAACTTTCTACCTTGCTCGATCTGAAAGCCGCCTTCGACTTATTCGACCGCTATAAACTCTGGAGCTGCCTCTCCCTCGGGTTTGCCCCAGAATTCTTTATCAATTTTCCCATCGATTCTTACTAGCAAGCGAAGCTGAATCCGAGTTAACTGCACTCTTTCGCCCCATTTTATCACGCAAAGCGGTGTTCATCATATCTATTCTCATTGAAATTTTTATATATTTAATCAATGAAACAACTCTATCCTCTTGCGAGGATAGTGCCATCCCTTTCCCCCCAGGTGGTAGACTGTTTGATCTGGAATATGCAGACGACATTTTGCTGCTAAGCTATGATCCAGGTTCGTTGCAAGCTGTTCTGAATAGTTTTAGTGCTACTGTAGCCATGCGCGGTATGCGTTTTGCACCTTCAAAGTTTAAAATGTTGCTACAAGATTTGGTTAACCCAGCCTCCAACCTCACTCTGACTGAGGAGCTAGTAGTAGTATTGAATGTTAATACATGTGTTCACTTCATCTTGCCCAGTCACTCCGTTAATGTTTTGCCTTTTGTTTGACTGTTAAGCTGTGAAATCCAGGTATCATCATCTTTCGATCTTGAATACTGCGTCCTCTAGCTTTGTATAGACGCAAGTAGTTTCCCGAATCTATCCTGATTTGATATGTTATATTTGGCTTTAATTTCGATATACAGACAGTTCATATTTCCTCTACCGCGATGTTGTTCTATCTGAACTTTCTGACACTAGTAAAACTCATGACATCCTTTGACTGGGTTCATGTGTTGCGCAAAATCTGGTGTGAATTCTATCCATGTCTCCTGTCCAACACTCCCAGACACCCTCATTCGTTCTGTGGAACTGTTTCTGCCCGGACATTGTGTTCGTTCGTTTTTTAGGTGAACCAACGCACTAGCAACTTTTAAACAGGGCTAGGGTGTGTAGCACTTTGTATAGATCTTTTGGGTCAATGTGAGATCGATTCCCATCACCCCTGAATTTTTCTCTCTATCTGTACTGCTGTCCTCAATCCGACTGTCGACTGCAGTTCCCCACTCCGATCAACCTTAATACAATCAAAGTCGAACAGATTGATGATGATGTGTCTGCATGCTTTCATATNCTTTCATATCGCTCTCTCATTTTGTCTGAGTGCCCATAGATCATCCGAATGTGTGAACCACTGGCCAAACACATCTATCGGTCCTGCCTCCCGTAGCACGTGCTTTGTGGACTTACTCGTCCCATTTTTATATTTTATTCTATTCTCGTTCCTCCACTACATTCAGGTAGACATGGACAGACAGCGCGAATGGTCCATCGATGTAGCTAACTTTCCTTGTTACACTGTTCACCATATCATCTGAAGTG